AGCGAGAAATCACCGGCGGCAAGCGGGAACGAGCGAGACTAAGTGCGCGGTAGGGGGCGGTACCCCTTAACACCGGGCACACGAGGCAAATAGGGGGACCAGCTGTGTTCTATCCTTGTTCGGATTGCTCTAAGGGGGTCGAGGATTATTAAAACGGACGGGGGACAGGGAAGAGTGGCAGTAGAAGGGAAGGGGGGGGGAGGGAGAGGGCAGCCTTCTACTGTTACGGTGCACAGCCTCGGGAACCGGTAAGCCCCACTACCCCACGCCAGTCGTTTCTCTCGTTCCGTCTGTCTCTCCTTCTCTGTCTCTCTCCTTCAGCCTCCCTGATTCGGTATTCAAGTTGGAACCGCGGTGCATGCTCTTGGTGCATAAAATGCCCCCTACAATGATCCCAATCAACCGTGGTGCCCATACGCTGCTCGAAGCTCAGCAATCAGGGCCGCTTTGATGACGGCGGCCAAAAATTCGACATTAATTCAATGAGAGACGCCGCGCGGCGAATCGATACGATCGATCGGTCGATCGATCGATGGATCGATCGCTCGACCGATCCATTCGTCGATCGGGGACTCGCCGTTGTCCGTTGTGAATCGCACGCACCGCGAAAGTGGATCATCTATCTTGATCAGCGAATTTGAAAGCCGAAGCATTCTCAAACGAGCGCCGAAGCACTTAAGTGAAAACGTCTCTCGAGGAATAAGCCGGTGAGTCGTAAGTTAAAATGCTTAGTAAATACCGCAAAGAATCGTGCCGAGAAAACAAGCGTGCGATTTCACAAAACGGCAAAAATAATGAGTCGGAATCTATCTATATCCTGCAATTCTTTCGAAACCTTGTTCCCTCGGCACAGTGGGAAGATATGTGTCTCAGGCACATGCACGGTTGCCCTTTGACAAACGCAAGGTACCTGCACCACGACAGAAAAGATTTCTTACCTTGTTTAGATGGGTCCTTACCAGACAAAAGAACACAATTAGAACTACTGCAAAGTCATCGTAGAATAGCGTTAGCTTCAAAGCTAATGCTAATAATAGTTAATATTATGATACGAATCGATGAAGCTCGACAACTTCAAACTGTTGGTCCATAAGAATAGTACCAATCTCGATAACTCACTTCAGAAAGATATACATTTGTTTAATTTCCATTTTGCTCACCTCGACTTGATTTATTACTTACAGAATCCTTGGCATGCTTCGAAAGTACCTAGCTCTTTTGTCTATTTATATTTTTATGATAAACAAGTATAATTCTTTCAAACACAATACGATTTCCCTTGACATTATTAAACTCTAATCGCACTTCCTTCTTATTATTAACCTTTAAATAAACAGATGGTATGGTTTTAATTTTCTTTAAAAACCTTCTTCTGAGAAATGCAAAAGAAAAATACAAATTATTGCCTACTTCAAAGTTTTAGTTTATTATTTTTATATTCTTTTACCTTATAATCAATAAATTCAATTATAACAGTTTATGTTATATACTTTAGTTTATGCTATACTACACAGAAAAATTGTTACGGTTGCTACACCGGAAATAATGATGATTTTCGCTCCTCAATACATTTGTTTATGATAACCGTTAAGATGAACATATCTTTTAGACAGCCATAATTGTTTAGGATATGTCAATCCTATGGTTATCACAACTATAGTTCTTATAACCAAAATATGTATTGATGAACGACTTTTGATCTTGACAACCGTAGTTGTTTTTTTCCACATAGTAAAAAATACAACTATAAAATTAAAATCAATTACGAGAAAGAATCTTATTTTCAGCCAAAGCGAATCTTAGAGTATATTTTTTGCATTTTAAAAATAGCCATCTTATCCAAGTTTACCTTAATTAAATATTTCGATATGAATATATATATTATTTAAACATTAAGTTCTTTTGACCGAACATAGAATTATTTTTTTTAATTTATTCTCATCAGTCTAATTTCGAATTGTAATTGTTTGCAAAAAATTAAAAAAGTTTTGGGGGATATCCTGAGCACCCCATCTACCAAATTACGTACATTTAAATATTTGAATTATTTAACTACTTAACTGTCAACTATACATCTTTTTCATTCTAATCTCAATCTAATATTTCAGTATCATGTTATATCGAATAATTTCTATTCCAAAAACATTTCAGATATATAATTTTAACCTAAGACGATACTCTCGCGAGACTTATTTTTTCCTTTTCGACGTAATCAATCGAAGTGTATCCGTACCTCTTCGCTTAACCGCCAAGCTCAATTACGCATGAACGTTCCAGAGATGATTCCCTTTCCTTAGGTGGGACAGGCCACACAGGCAC